ACCCTTAATTAACCCCACCAAACCCTTAATTAACCCCATCAAACCCTTAATTAATCCCACCAAACCCTTAATTAACCCCATCAAACCCATTAATTAACCCCACCAAACCAAACCCATTCATTAATCCCATTAAATCCTTTAATTAATCCCAATAAACCCCTTAATTAATCCCATTAAACCCTTAATTAACCTCATCAAACCCTTAATTAACCCCCCCAACCAAACCCATTCATTAATCCCATTAAACCCCTTAATTAACCCCATCAAACCCCTTAATTAATCCCTTTAAACCCCTTGATTAACCCCATCAAACCCATTCATTAATTCCATTAAACCCATTAATCAATCCCATCAAACCCTTAATTAATCCCATCAAACCCCTTAATTAATTCCATTTACCCCATTTATTAATCCCATTAAACCCAGTCATTAATTCCATTAATCCCATTAATTAATCCCATCAAACCCTTAATTAACCCCACCAAACCCCTTAATTAACCCCCCCAAACCAAACCCATTAATTAATCCCATTAAATCCTTTAATTAATCCCATTAAACCCCTTAATTAATCCCATTAAACCCATTCATTAATCCCATCAAACCCCTTAATTAATCCCATTAAACCCCTTAATTAACCTCATTAAACCCCTTAATTAATCCTATTAAGCCCATTAATTAATCCCATTAAACCCATCTATTAATCCCATTAAATCCATTCATTAATTCCATTAAATCCCTTAATTAACCCACCAAACCCTTAATTAACCCAACCAAACCCCTTAATTAACCCCATCAAACCCTTAATTAACCCACCAAACCCTTAATTAACCCCCCCAAACCAAACCCATTAATTAATCCCATTAAACCCCTTAATTAACCCCATCAAACCCCTTAATTAATCCCATTAAACCCGTTGATTAATCCCATTAAACCCCTTAATTAATCCTATTAAATCCATTCTTTAATCCCATTTAACCCCTTAATTAATCCTATTAAATCCATTCATTAATCCCATCAAACCCCTTAATTAATCCCATTAAACCCCTTAATTAACCTCATTAAACCTCTTAATTAATCCCATTAAGCCCATTAATTGATCCCGTTAAACCCATTCATTAATCCCATTAAATCCATTCATTAATTCCATTAAATCCCTTAATTAACCCCCTCAAACCCTTAATTAACCCCACCAAACCAAACCCATTCATTAATCCCATTAAATCCTTTAATTAATCCCCCAAACCAAACCCATTCATTAATCCCATTAAATCCTTTAATTAATCCCATTAAACCCCTTAATTAATCCTATTAAACCCATTAATCCCATCAAACCCTTAATTAACCCCCCCAAACCAAACCCATTTATTAATTCCATTAAATCCATTCATTAATCCCATTAAACCCCTTAATTAATCCCATTAAACCCCTTAATCAATCCCTTTAAACCCATTCATTAATCCCATTAAATCCATTCATTAATCCCATCAAACCCCTTAATTAATCCCATTAAACCCATTGATTAATCCCATCAAACCCATTCATTAATCCCATTAAATTCGTTCATTAATCCCATTAAATCCCTTAATTAATCCCATTAAACCCCTTAATTAATCCCATCAAACCCATTAATTAATCCCATTAAACCCCTTAATTAACCCCATCAAACCCTTAATTAATCCCATCAAACCCATTCATTAATTCCATTAAACCCATTCATTAATCCCATCAAACCCCTTAATTAATTCCATTTACCCTATTTATTAATCCCATTAAATCCATTCATTAATCCCATTAAACCCCTTAATTAACCCCATCAAACCCCTTAATTAACCCCATCAAACCCCTTAATTAACCCCCCCAAACCAAACCCATTAATTAATCTCATCAAACCCATTAATTAATCCCACCAAACCCTTAATTAACCCCATCAAACCCTTAATTAACCCCCCCAAACCCATTCATTAATCCCATTAAACCCCTTAATTAATCCCATTAAAGCCATTAATTAATCCCATCAAACCCATTCATTAATCCCATTAAAGCCATTCATTAATCCCATTAAACCCATTAATTAATCCCATTAAAGCCATTAATTAACCCCATTAAACCCATTCATTAATCCCATTAAACCCCTTAATTAGTTCCATTAAACCCATTGATTAATCCCATCAAACCCATTCATTAATCCCATTAAATCCATTAATTAATCCCATCAAACCCCTTAATTAGTTCCATTAAACCCCTTAATTAATCCCATCAAACCCCTTAATCAATCCCATTAAACCCTTTAATTAATCCCATTAAATCCATTCGTTAATTCCATCAAACCCTTAATTAACCCCCCAAACCTGTTAATTAACCCCATCAAACCCTTAATTAACCCCCCAAACCCTTAATTAACCCCACCAAACCAAACCCATTAATTAATCCCATTAAATCCTTTAATTAATCCCATTAAACCCCTTAATTAATCCTATTAAATCCATTCATTAATCCCATCAAACCCCTTAATTAATCCCATTAAACCCCCTAATTAACCCCATCAAACCCCTTAATTAATCCCATTAAACCCATTGATTAATCCCATCAAACCCATTCATTAATCCCATTAGATTCATTCATTAATCCCATTAAATCCCTTAATTAACCCCATCAAACCCTTAATTAACCCCCCCAAACCAAACCCATTCATTAATCCTATTAAATCCATTCATTAATCCCATTAAACCCCTTAATTAATCCCATTAAACCCATTCATTAATGCCATTAAATCCATTCATTAATTCCATTAAATCCATTCATTAATCCCATCAAACCCCTTAATTAATCCCATTAAACCCCTTAATTAACCTCATTAAACCTCTTAATTAATCCCATCTAACCCATTCATTAATCCCATTAAATCCATTCACTAACCCCATCAAACCCTTAATTAACCCCATCAAACCCTTAATTAACCCCACCAAACCCTTAATTAACCCCCCCAAACCCCTTAATTAACCCCATCAAACCCTTAATTAACCCCACCAAACCAAACCCATTCATTAATCCCATTAAACCCCTTAATTAATCCCATTAAATCCTTTAATTAATCCCATTAAACCCCTTAATTAATCCTATTAAATCCATTTATTAACCCCCCAAACCCTTAATTAACCCCCCCAAACCCTTAATTAACCCCACCAAACCCCTTAATTAACCCCATCAAACCCTTAATTAACCCCATCAAACCCTTAATTAACCCCCCCAAACCAAACCCATTCATTAATCCCATTAAATCCTTTAATTAATCCCATTAAACCCCTTAATTAATCCTATTAAACCCATTCATTAATCCTATCAAACCCTTAATTAACCCCATCAAACCCTTAATTAACCCCTTCAAACCCTTAATTAACCCCATCAAACCCTTAATTAACCCCATCAAACCCTTAATTAACCCCCCCAAACCAAACCCATTAATTAATCCCATTAAATCCTTTAATTAATCCCATTAAACCCCTTAATTAATCCTATTAAATCCATTCATTAATCCCATCAAACCCCTTAATTAATCCCATTAAACCCCTTAATTAACCTCATTAAACCTCTTAATTAATCCCATTAAGCCCATTAATTAACCCCATCAAACCCCTTGATTAATCCCATTAAACCCATTTATTAATCCCATTAAATCCATTCATTAACCCCATTAAACCCCTTAATTAATTCCATTAAATCCATTAATTAACCCATCAAACCCTTAATTAACCCCCCCAAACCCATTCATTAATTAACCTTCCCTGATTATCAATAGAATTCCTCGAAAATCCCTTCCCAAATCCCCATTTTTTTGGGATCCCTTCCCAATTTTTCCCCTTAAATCCTTAAAAAAACTTTGGGAAGAGGCTTTTTTCCGGAATTTTCCATGGAAAAGGTGACGTCATCGTCTCCTTGCAGGTGACATGGATGATGAAGACGGCCGGTGCCTGTTAGACGTCATCTGGTGAGTCCGGAATTCCCGGAATTCCGGCCGGGAATGGGACGGGAAAGGCGGGAAAAGAGAGGGGGGGGAAAAAGGGGGAAGTGGGAATTGGGGGGAAATCAAAAAAAAATGGGAATTGTGAAAAAAAAATTGCAAAAATGGGAATTGTGGGAAAAAAAAACCCCAAAAATTGGGAATTGTGGGGGGAAAACACAAAAAAAGTGGGAATTGTGGGGGGAAAACACAAAAAAAGTGGGAATTGTGGGAAAAAAAAACAAAAAAAAATGGGAATTGTGATGGGAAAAATCAAAAAAATTGGGAATTGTGAAAAAAAAATGGCAAAAAATGGGAATTGTGGGAAAAAAAACCCCAAAAATTGGGAGTTGTGGGGGAAAAACCAAAAAAAAATTGGGAATTGTGGGGAAAAACACAAAAAAATTGGGAATTGTGGGGAAAAAAACCCAAAAAGTGGGAATTCTGGGGGGGAAACACAAAAAAAGTGGGA